GCTGACAGTTCATATGTGTTAACTACATCAAAATGTTTATATGTGCAGTTGTTTTCACGTTGGGGCAAATTACAGCCCGTATTGGTCCCCCTCACCGTACTGACAATTTGCTTAACTACTTAACTGTCATTCTCCCCATACCCTGTGTACGTATGGACAAATTCCTCGCACAAAATCAAGCATGCTGATTCATTCCATGTCATAACTCAAACTCCTAAAAACCCCTAAACCCCATAAGTTCAACACTATTCTTACATGCTAATTATGTAGGCCTAAATGTTTTTCAACCATTAGCATATGTTTCTAATCTTGTCTCTTCCTACGTCAAGTGTATGGCATTTTGTCTCCAGCATGTTCAGGCCCAATACTCTGTCCCCTACAAGCATGTTTGATGGCCATTACGGTCTCACGTCAGTATTGACACTGGAGCATTCTAGAGGTCTCGGACTAGACTCCTGGTATCAAGTTGTCATCAGGTCATTTGACTCAGCAGGTACGTATTATATCACGATAAGGTGTTTTCAATCCCTATGTTTACTATGCCAACTTTCAATCATCATCAGTTTATCTATCATACCCATTTTATTGCTTCTCCCTAAACAACCAGTAACCTCCCAACCAATCTACGACTCAAACTGGGCCTTCTCTCGGCATTATATGTATATTCCCTATGCAAAGCCCTCACTAGGCCTCTGCAACATACTTCATACGTCCTCAGTGGGCTACCATGTCCACTTCCAACCCCAACGTCTTGGCATTAAGTTATATGACATCTGGGTACAAGAGTAGGCATATGTTCAGATATCCCACAAACTTACAACCTTTTATCAACCATGTCTTATCATTTTACACTTCTGATATTCCTTATACTGCCCATATATGAGCACTCTGCTAAGCTACTTACAATCCTTCCTAAGTGGCATACACCTGGCCATACTCTCAGAAGGTTACAGTATCACTCATTATGTATGTAATCCTTACATCTCTTATTAGGCTATTGTGGTTCAGCGTAATTTCAATAGTCCGGTGTAACCATGCCACTTACATTGTGATACGTTCGATTATTACTTCTCATATAGCCCTTATTATTTCGATTCTACTATCTATACAAGTCGCCCCATTGTTGATGTCTTAGTCCTTAAACACAGGTATGTAATGCCCTTATCTCCATTAACACTTACACCACACTGGACGCATTCCCATTAGCGTTCCTATTGTGTCATTAGGTTCCTCTCTATAAGAATCCATTCTCATGCTCAACCACACTAGTTGGGCCAGGTACGTACGTTTTATATACATTCCTTAAATTCATTACGCTACTGTTCCCCTACATTCCTTAGGGATAGATCAACTGGCTGTAAAGGGTAGTGATGCTAGCCTTAATCTAGTTTAATGGTTATCCTGTCCCGCGAGGCCAACTCCCATCCTCAAACAGAGGTAATCGCGCATATTTAGAGCCTCGCTTCAACCTCTATAGGTTATTAGATAGGACCTCACCTGACATGGCCACTCGTATTGAAGCTTTTAATTGTCACCGAGAGGCCAACATTCCTGCCACTCAGTTTGGTGGCCTAAGTCCCTCGGCCAAATTAAAATCTAGAGCCTCTCAAAGCCACTTGGCATTTAGTAGGGACTCACCTATCCCTGGTTAGCTAATTTCTTCGCCATTTGGCACTAAGCAAGACGCCAGTTAATGTAAGGTTAAACTTTCATAGCATGTCTGTTAAATTACACGTTATTTATTACCTCATACTACATCTCATAACTAGGTGCAAGCAGGATTTTCACCCGTGAGTCCCGCAACAAACCCTCCACCCTGGCAGATCATACACTTAACATAGAAATATGATTCTGCTATGCCAGTCTCTTGCAGTCCTGGACCAGTCCAATTGCTGATGCCCAGACAGCATAGCAAATTGCAAACCGTGAAATCTGACGTCTGGAGTCAAATCTCCCAGAGTCTAGCCCGTAGTTTAAACTAGGGGCTATAGATCATACTTCTGTACATGCCCAAATTTGTTCTGACCTTTGGTCTATATAAATACGCTATCTCATACGTTCTAACGTCTGTAGGGACAAATGGACTTCTGTTACAAGACCTATTATGTTCCAGGGTTATGCATACAGCTCTCACAACACATGATGGTATTGCAATATTGCTTATGGATTACACCACATCCGCCCCCTATTTCTCCGCTACACCAAACCATGGGCTCTATCCTCCTTTTCGCAGCCCATGACTTTTAGAAGTTAACTTCGACAACTGGCCTTTGCTCACCCTCCCCTTTCATTAGTATTATTACTATTACTCACCCTCCCCTTTCACTAGTCGACTTATGCTTAAGTTCAAAAGTACCATTTGTTATGCCCCAAAGCACGCAAGTATACATGGCTCTACTTTCTTCCCTGAGGGGTCTCAATATCCCTAGCTTTCCATAGCTTCCTCCAGCAGTCTAATTTGCTTTTATAACCATAGGCAGGGTCCTGTGTATCAGGCAGCATAAAGACAGTCTCTGACGAATGCCTGTTATCATAGGTATCTTCAGCCTCCTTGGTTCTCTGAACCTTGTCATGCGCGCCATACTGTGAGGTCACAACTACATTATCGGACTACTCCGCCAACTCCCTGGTCATCCGCCTACATTAACCCTGCCATGCTCGTCACACCTGTTCTAACAGACCTGTCCAGTGGGTCAGACTTTTTCTTTCTTATAGGAACAGGATGCCACGTCCATTTCCCACAGTCTGTTGATTCCCCCTATGTATTGCAGATACAGCCGCCACACAGGATCTACTGCCATTTCAGGACACTGGGTCTGTGACTTGTAGCCCCACTCGCTCTTTAGTATATTTTGGGCTCTTTGTATTTATAACCTGTGACGGAACACTGGCACTCCGACTGAGTACCTCCGTGTCAAGGATCTTACCTGGAGTGGGAGTCCGGCACGCAGAGTTAAAGCACCCTTTGCAATTCGACACAGGCCAAGGGGACTCAGGACAGAAATCCCCAAGGTTGTGACACAGTGCACTGGGGCTGAAATAACCAGTGCTTCCTAGAACGCAGTACAGACAAAGGATATCCAGAAGAGTAGTCAGTATCAGAATCAGAAGTCAGGACAGGCGGCAATCAGGCAAAAACGGTAGACGAGCAGGGGATCAAAACCAGGAGTCAGAAGAATAGCAGTGAAACCAAACAGGAACAGGAAACACGATCTGACCACGAGAACCAGCCTTGCGGGGTTTAAATAGGGAGTCTCAGCCAATCATCAAGGAACCAGGAACAGGTGTGCACATTCCAGGCGTACAGGCTCAGACTACAGGATACCAAGAACAACCAGAAACAGTCAAAGATGCGTGGAGCTCAATGCAAGGATACCGACTGGGATGCAGGAAACTCAGGTTTGATCCCAGCCAGACCCAAATACACAATATTGTGTAAAGCACAATGGTGATCCTGACATTACCCCCCCTTCAAAGACGCCGTAGGCGAGAAGAGGAACGCAACTACGACCCAGGAGGTTACTTTTTGGATTTCTTGGCTTTGGTGGTACTAGTAGGAGCAGAGGTCATAGCTTGTAGGGCCTTTTCAAATACTTGCAAGTCCTCCTTCCGGACTAGAGTCCCATTAGAGGCATAGGTACAGCCAGAAAGAGGGTCTTCCTTGACAGGACTTGTAGTGGTTGTGGTGCTTGCCTTCTTAGAAGCAGAATCTTTAGTAGAAATAGAGATCTCAGGTTCTTTAGTAACAGATTCCTGCACAACCTCAGGAGCAACGACTGTAGAAGGCTGAGGATTGGACAGAGTGGTCAAGCAAGGACAGGCAGCATGTTGGCAGACAGGTCTCATAGGATATGCCAGAGTAGTACCCAGACGGAGAACCCGAGGCCTAGATGGACGAATGGGACAAAAAGATATTAAATGTCCCATCTCCCCACAATAATAACACAGTCCATGCGCCATCCTTCTTGCCCTTTCTTGAGATGACTGACGGAACCTAACCAGTCCAATCTCCATGGGTTCCTCCGCCTCCCTGCCAGATTTATACGATGTTTCGGGAGACTTGGGAGCGGTAGGGTTAGCTGTAACATCAGTCCGAGTGAAAGGAGTAGTGTAGTCCATTTCCAGTCCGGGTTGCAATATGTGTGAAGCAACAGTAGGTGATCTATGTACATATGACTTTTGTGTCTTGTTGCATTGTAAACCCAGGGACCGAATAAAGGACTCCCAGGAATCTAGGACTGGGCTTTTGGCGAGTAACAACTGGTGGGCCCAGATCTTAAGGTGCCCCGACAATAAGGTAATCGCTGTCCTCACTTTAATGACGTCTGTGGCATAGGTAAGTGGTCTCAGGGAGAACAGGACCTCGCAATCAACTTTGAAGGTATCATACTTAGACCGGATCCCAGAAAATTTCTCGGGTAGAGCAACCAGCGGTTCAGAGAGTCCAGAGTCATAGGTTACTCTCCCTTTAAGGGAAGCCAGCTCCTGCTGTAAGCCCTGCAAAGCCTGGGTGAGCTGGGAAACTTGCTGGGTCAAGGCTGCAACGGTAATCTTCAACTCTGCAGACTCCATTTGGTCAGATCGTACTGTCAGGGATCTTACCTGAGGTGGGAGTCCGGCACGCAGAGTTAAAGCACCCTTTGCAATTCGACACAGGCCAAGGGGACTCAGGACAGAAATCCCCAAGGTTGTGACACAGTGCACTGGGGCTGAAATAACCAGTGCTTCCTGGAACGCAGTACAGACAAAGGATATCCAGAAGAGTAGTCAGTATCAGAATCAGAAGTCAGGACAGGCGGCAATCAGGCAAAAACTGTAGACGAGCAGGGGATCAAAACCAGGAGTCAGAAGAATAGCAGTGAAACCAAACAGGAACAGGAAACACGATCTGACAACGAGAACCAGCCTTGCGGGGTTTAAATAGGGAGTCTCAGCCAATCATCAAGGAACCAGGAACAGGTGTGCACATTCCAGGCGTACAGGCACAGACTACAGGATACCAAGAACAACCAGAAACAGTCAAAGATGCGTGGAGCTCAATGCAAGGATACCGACTGGGATGCAGGAAACTCAGGTTTGATCCCAGCCAGACCCAAATACACAATATTGTGTAAAGCACAATGGTGATCCTGACAGTTAGTGAGTGTGTGTGTCAGTCAGTGCATGTCACTGTGTTAGTGAGTGTGTGTCAGTAAGTGCATATCACTGTGTTAGTGAGTGTGTCAGTCAGTGCATGTCACTGTGTTAGTGAGTGTGTGTGTCAGTCAGTGCATGTCACTGTGTTAGTGAGTGTGTGTGTCAGTCAGTGCATGTCACTGTGTTAGGGAGTGTATGTGTCAGTCAGTGCATGTCACTGTGTTAGTGA